CGGGCCAGCATTCAGAGCAGCGCTGTGCTTCACAGGGCTTCCACTGACGCATGGTTTCAGGGAGAAAGACTTGGCTTTCTGGGAATCATGTCTGGGAATCCCACAGGGGCAGGTCTCCTCTGTCCTGTGGAGTCACTGTGAGTCGGAATCGACTCGTTGGCAGTGAGTTCGGGGTTTTTTTTCAGAAGCGGGTCACCAGACCTTTTTGGCAAACACCCGAGTGGACCCTTCACCCTTTCAGTTAGCATCGACCCTTTGTCCGCAGGGACTCCTTAGCACCCAAAGAACCTTAGTAAAGCCGGGCCATCCCTGAGATGGTCGCCTTCATACAGCCGCATGGGCACGTCATCGGCCACCCATGAGGGCCCCAGGACTTTGCAGCAGGAGAACAGAGCAGGGGTGGAGGGGGACGAGGGGGAGCACAGCGGGGTGAAGCAAGTACTTGGATGGGATGTAGCCCAGCAGGCGCGGTGTCTCCAGGTCTGTGGGCAGACCACGCTGGCTGCAGGACTAGATGGGCGAGGCTACACGGAAGGAGCATGCTACCGCGAGGACTCATTGGCTGTGAGGGCTTTCGTGAGCTAGCAGTGATGCGGGGATGGGGTAGAATCGAGTCTAGAACTAACTCGGAGTAGTTCCTGATCAACTAGCGTGGACAGCAGGCAGTTCCATTGGCTGAAGAATTTGAGGAAGAACGATGCGACAGGAGAAGCAGGGCTGTTAACGATGACAAGAATTAGATCAGTCTGGGGGCCCAGTGAGCTTGGGCTACTTGTGAGACAAGTGCGTGGGGCTTTGAAAAGGTTTTTTTTTTTTTTTTAACATTTATTAGGGGCTCATACAACTGTTATCCCAATCCATACACACATCAATTGTGTAAAGCGCATTTGTACATTGTTTCTCAAAACATTTTCTCTCCATTTAAACCCCCGACATTAGGTCATTTTTCCCCTCCCTCCCCGCTCCCCCCTCCCGCATGAGCCCTTGATAGTTTATAAGTGGGTATTTTGTCATATCTTGCCCTGTCCGACGTCTCCCTTCATCCACTTTTCGGTTGTCTGTCCCCCAGGGAGGAGGTCACACATAGTTCCATGTAATCGGTTCCCTCTTTTGGAGATATCTCACACCGTCTTTGAATTCCACCTTCCCTACAAACCCTCTGGAGCCGCCTGGTAGACAGAGCCGCCTGGCCGCAGCAGGCCCTGGGCACTTCGCTGAGGACTTACTGCTTGTCGGCACTGTTGTCAGCGGCCTGCACTGGTCATTTCAACCAGCCTCCAGAGTGGCTCTACAAAATAAATGGCTGCTGCTCTTCCCCTGCTGTAGCGGAGGGGGCCGAGGCCAGGGCCACCCTGCTAAGGCAAGGCAGAGTCAGAATCGGCTCCCAGCCTTTGGCCATATCAGGAGGCCTCTGTCAGGTGCTGAGGGAGATGGGCTCAGGCATGGGTTGCACCGGGCAGTGTCCCCAGCATCTTTGGTAGGAGTGACCCAGCAACAAGGATGGGTCCTACCCAGGACAGCTTGACTGCCCACTCCCGAGGCTGTCCAGGGTGCTGTGCAGGCCCAGAGGGCTAGTCTGCCAGTAGGGCATGTGGAAGAGGACAGGCCCAGGGCCCACCAACTCCCCAGGAGCACAGGTTGTTGGGGAGCGCCGGGGAGCCCCACGTGGACCTCCCAGAAGCTGCGTTGGCTGAGGGCCCTCAAAGCCTGCCCTTTCACTGACGGCTGAGTCTTTCCAGAAACGCAGAGGCCACAAGCCACTAACCGGTTGACCGTGGCTTGTGGCCTCTGGGTTTTTGGAAGGCTTTCCGCGTTCCAAAAAGGCTGGAGGGCATCCCGGGGAGCATTACCACTTTCCAGATGAGAAATTGGAGGCCCAGAGAAAGGACATGAAATGGCTGGCTACATTGTCACAGGGTGGCATGCACAGAGAGGTGGACGGACACACTCCCTTTTCTACTGCTAATGTGTAGCCATACCTTTCCTCACTCCAGTCAGTCCGGTGTCCTCTTGCAAGCACAGCCTGCTGGGGGTGCTGCCCACACCCTTCCCCCTTTGCCCTCTCCCACCCCCTAGGAAAGTGCAGGTGAGACCTGCAGCTTAGCCTTCAAAGGAGGAAGGGAGGGTGGGTGGCGTGAGGCCCCGCCCCTCCTGCAGCAGTTGCTCCTCTTGTGCTCAGAGCCGACCAGACTGGACCCCAGCAAAGGTCAAGCGACTCACTTGGGACCGTTCTCCCTGCTCTCTCAGGTCCTCGCTACTCAGAACGTACGGCCCCTGGACCTGCAGCCTCAGCCTCCCCTGGGGGAGCTGGTTGGAAAGGCAGAGTCTAAGCCCCACCCAGACCTACTGAGTCAGCGTCCACATCTTAGCAACATCTCTGGTGGGACTCTGTGCACCAGGGCTTGTGAGCAGCATAGTGTGTTTGTCTGGTGCCTCTTGCTGGCTGCATTCTAGAAGGGGAAGTTGCTAGAAAAGTTGCCCTGGACCCAGTACTGGGGCATGCTTACTATGGGAGAAATGGAATGCAGCCAGTAAGGTGACTCCTAGTGACCCTTTTAGGACAGGGGAGAGGGCGAACTGGCCCTGTGTGTTTCTAAAGCCATAACTCTTCACGGGCATAGAAAGCCCAGTCTTTCTCCCTTCGAACTGCTGACCATGTGGCTGGCAGCCCGCCTGGTAACCACTGCAGCCCCAGGACTCGTAGGAAGAAGGAAAGCCCTTCTGAGTCCCTCCTGGCTTTCGGGGAGACATGCTAGTTAAGAGGGTAAGTGATGGAGCACGGGGACTTCGCAGTTCAGGACAAGTTCTCCGCCTTCTCCAGAAAACCGTTAGGGGAAGTACTTAAAAAGCCCTTGGGGTTATTCTGCTTAGGGGCAGGACAGCTGATTCCTCCAAAGACCCCATTTGTCCATTCGTTGCTATAAGAGGCTGAATGGTGACAGATACAAAGGCTGACTGATACGCATGACTCCCAGACCAGAGTTCCTGGTTTGTATAAGTAATTGGAAGGCTCTGTTGGCAACCAAAAGGTTGGAGGATTGAGTCCGCCCAGGGGTGCCTCAGAGGAAAGGCCTGGCGATCTACTTTTGAAAGATCGGCCACTGAGAACCCTACGGAGCACAATGCTCCTCTGACCCTCGGAGGCGGCCATGTGTGGAATCCATTCGATGGCAGCTGTGTTTTAATTCCTAGATGAGTAAAGGATAGACTTTATATTCTTACCAAATATAAAAATCCTAGGAAGGCAAAAGGCCAGTCTTAAAAAAAGATCTCGAAAGTTCATTTATGTGCAGGACTAGTTCTTTCCTCAATTATTCCAAATCCAAGCAGCTTTCCTCCCCGCCCCCAACATCTGCCCTTTTTCCTTTTGCAAATGAGCTGACCTACCAGTGGGGTTACCCACTGTGGTCATCGATGACTGGGTCCACTGGCATTTATGGATGGGCGGGGTCCAGCCTGATCCCTCCTGGGAGGTGTGGCCTTGTTATATATGGAAGAAACTGGGACCCTTTCTCTCTGCCCCTTCTCCTTCCTGCTTGCTGGGACTCTGCCTGCCTCTTGGGGGGACCCCCCACAGGCCGTCCAACTCGGAGAGCTGTTGGCACCCTGCCATGTTTCTACCCAATGTGGACCCACACAACCCACCAGCCTGCACTCTCCCTGCGTCCTGCCTTGCCTTCCCTGGCCTTGGCCTGCAGGTCGTGGGTTGGAAGAGGGGCCAGGCTGGCATTGCCTTCTTACTGTGAGATGACGTCTCTTACTTACACATATGAGTGCCACTGGAATGCCTTTGCTTACCTACACATCTATGCCCGCCACTGTTTTTTTTTCTCTAGATAAACCAACCTAGGCCCCACCTCCACCCCCAAGCCAAAGGGAGACTATTTCCGGGTGGTTCCTGTGGACGGTTGAGAAAACAACACACAGGAGTCAAGGAGATGTTTTTTTTTTTTTTTAAAACTTTGTTGTTTTTAAAGAAACTGCATACATCATCAGAGACAAACAATAATTTAAAGACCATGCAGTTTCTGTATGTACAAAACCTTAGGCTTCAGAGATCCAGTTTCCTTTGTACTCTATTTACATCGTCTTCACACGGCGCCACGTTACATTACCCAGCAGGAGGGCAGGGGCCGATTCCCACACGCACCCGCCCGTGGCGGGCACAGACTGTACAGACACCCGGTGAGCCACGCGGACGCCCCGGCGGGGCGCAGGTAAGTCAGGGAGGTCACCTGCGCGCCTGGCGGGCGGTAACTCGTCAGGGAGGTGCGCTCCATGCCTTCCGCCGCAGCTAAAAAGACTCGTTGAAGGCGGGAGCAAGGGGACTGGGAGGCGCCGCCACACTGCCTGTCACGCTGTTGGGGGTCCCTAACGGGGCTGAAAGGCCAACACCCCAAAGGGTTGACAGGGCTGTGGAGGGTCTTTGGAGAGGGGTCTCCCAGCAATTTTGAAAGTAAAAACCGGCTCTTCAGTTATCGTGGAGTGGGGTGGGGGTGGGGGTGGGAGTGGAGGCAGAGGTGTGGGGTAACGTCAAATTTGGGGTGGGTGTGGGAAGCATCCGATCCGGGACACATCACATCGTTCCTGTCTTGCTTGCGAACCCAAGGCGGCAGCAAGGCCCGGCTGCAAACTTGAACTCAAGAAAACAAAGAGGCCTTGATCAAGGCCCGTTTTCCTTTGTTTGCTCCTTTTCACAAGAGGGGGATGGATGCGTCCTCACCCCGCCACGGCGCCCACCTGCCGCCACTGCCCCCAGTGGATGCCCGTCGCCCTCTGAGAAAACGGCC